TTAGCTAAAGCTATTCTGCCTAGAAGAGACGGTACAATGTTAATTCCCTAGATGTGAAAAGCTGGTTGATATAAAAGAATCCAAATACTTTGGGGCTGTACACAATAAAATGTAGGAAATGTTCAAAAGTTTTGCTAAGCATCTGAGATTGAGTATAAAACTATAAAATATGGGATCAGTCAATAGTTTAAATTACATAATTCTCTTAGAATTTAAAGCAGTATTAAGAAGAAAAAATAAATCTGCAGGTGCAGAATAGGGGCAAAAAATCAGTAGAGATTGTTTTTCTTCCCCCCACGCTTGTCTGTTACTCAATGAATAAAAGTGGTGAGGGATATCAATACTAGACTAAACAAACTTGTAGGAAGTGACATGTTAGGACTTAGGAATTTGTTTTTTTCCTGTTCATCTAATTGAGAGGGCTTTAATTCAAATTATCCCCCCCAGTATCCTGCTATGGGCTTTCATTTTGTACAACATGTTGACAAATGCTTCATCCATAAGTCTTGGCTTGACACAGAACCAACCTTATTAGATTCCAATGCTTGTAAATAAGAGAATGGGGATAGGAGACGGGGAGAAAATTACAGAAAGAAGGAAAAACAGGTGGGGGATGGGAATTAGTTGGAAGGGAAGTGGAAGGATAGAGATGATGGGGGTGGTCTTCAGCAGGCATAAACTCAAAGTAGGTTCAGTCGGTTCATGTATTGCAGGGGAATTCTGACAGCAGGAGGAGGGGGATGGTAAGCTCTCTGAACCTGGTGCCTCTTTCATACATTCAAATGAGATCCCCTTGTTTTTTGGTTTCTGCGGCCAAGGGTTAACCTGTAGTTCTGTCATAATCACAGGAGGCATGCTGGGGTGGGCTTATAGCTGGAATAAAGATCTAATGTTTAGCAAATCAAACCTATGCTCTGCTGTGTGTGGTGTGTATATGACTGGGCGGCGAGTTCACGTGTAAAATGTATGTATATTGGGGGAAGGGTGGGTTCCTTGCAGTACTTAGTAATATCCTTTTAAAAGCAAGTAAAATTGCCAGTGCATTAATCACACGTGCATTAGATAATCAGAAGAAAGAACATGTGTTGGTATATAGGTGTATGTAAACATGCTATACATCCTACTGCACTGCACGGTCACTCTGTTTGGCCTGTTGTCGGTTAAAAGTGAGGGGGGGATACATAGCTGCTTGTGGATAACCTTGAAGAGTGACATGTGACCACATGTGTGAGTCTATAGATACCGACGGCAAGAGCACAGAATGAAATTCAGGTTTTAAACTGTCAAAATAAGGGAATGAAGCATTATGTAATAAATCGAACATAGTTCATAAGACAAAAAAATGCCCATAAAAGACAACTTCAGTCATGACATGTTTGGTAATTATGAAAAAAGTCATGAATGCACCATTCTTATAATAAAGATTTGACATAATGAGTGGGGATACCCACAGTGGTGGTTCTAGGCAGGGGTGTGCACACATAGACACTAGGTGTTGCTAAAGCACTAGGAAGTTTGCCCTCTATCAAAGAAAATGCCCTTTTGAAACTCGTTTTTTTTTTTTTATTATTATTAATATTATTAAGATTTTACTGAGGTCGGTTTTGAAATTATCTTTTGAAAACCTGAGCCATTAAAAACGACTGAAACAATGCCCCGAAATGACCGACCTACTTGCGCACAAACGACCCTCTCTCTCTTCGTTTGTCACGTGAACTTGCTCGGTCGCCCGCAGGGCATGCCAGATGCACAGCATCATAGCAGTTTTCAGATAGCAGGAACGGTCGCTGACAGGCTGCTTCTCCCGTGCCCCATTAGCCAGGTAATATACAGATCAAGCAGAATCATTTTGTTGTGCATTAAAATGTCTCATTCAGCAGCACCAAACACGCATTTTGCCGACTGGTCACCAGATAAACTAGTTGTCTCCTTGTAAGATGCTATTTTACTTTTTATGTTTTGTATCCATATTTTTTATCTTAAGTGTATACATTAGTCTATTTTATTGCATGATGTATACCCACAGTTTTTAGATATTTTTATAATTTTATTTACCTATTCCATATTATATGTTTCATGTTGCAGGATTGTACCATAAAAAAATCCTAGTTTGTGAACTCCTTCACTAACAATGGCAATAAACCTGATTCTGATTCTGAAAGTTTTACACTGTAGCCCAAGTCAATGACAGATAACGTGAGGACGACCACATAGGCTACAAATAATTTTGGTAGAGTTTGCCATTGCAAATACGGAAGAGGATTAGGGCCACTGAAAAAAAAAAAAAAAAGTTAACTGATTTTTAAATTTTATTTCAGTTTAGTATGGGAAAAAAGAAAGAATGCTGACTTTAATCTCATAATTCTAACTTTTTTCTCATAATTTTGACTTTTTGCTGAGAATTCTGACTTTTTGCTCAGTATTCTGACTTTAATCTCAGAATTCTGACAATAAAAAAGTCAGAATTCTTATTTTTTTTTTTTCAGTGGCCCTAATCCTCTTCTGTACAAATCTATGTGTTCCGTAAAAATTCAAAAAATATCCACTGGACTTGGTTTTCAAGATTTGAAGACGTTTCGCCACCTCTCCAGGAAGCTTTCTCAATTCAAAATTGAGACTCATTTTGAATTGAGAAAGCTTCCTGGAGAGGTGGCGAAACGTCTTCAAATCTTGAAAACCAAGTCCAGTGGATATTTTTTGAATTTTTACGGAATGACTATGACCTGGATGACTGAGAACCTTCATCAGCAAATCTATGTGTTAAGACAAACGTTTTCTGTTGTATAGGTTTTGTTAGGCAACATAAATTAACACATTTTGGTCTCTTTGTTGTCTTAATTGTATATTGATTTAGTAATTGCAGCACAATACCAAGAAAGGAGGGTTAATCATATTGAAAAATCTTAAAAGCTGTTCACATTTTATTTTTAAGTGGTTTGTGCAGCAGGTATTAAAATAGCTATTATTTTGTAGGCTACCATAAGTCATATCCACGTGACAAGACTTCCAGTCATGTTGCCCTAATAGCCCATTATTTAAACTAATGTGGCATATTTGTTAAAGCTATTATTATTATTATTATTATTATTATTATTATTATTATTATCATTATTATCATTATTATTGTCATGATGGTTATTATTAATATATTGTAGCCAGTCACAGCAGGGAAGCTCTATACCATCAACATCTACCAGGACAGGAGACGAGGAAGAGTTCAGGGAAGACACAGAGACAGAAAAAGACCAGGATGAGGGAGAACAGATGGGTGAGGGAAAACAGGGAGATGAGCCAGATGAAAGAAGTATGCTTTAGTCTGTTCTGTTGGTGATGTGACTTTTTTCCATTGAAAAATCACGTTTAGAGAATGTTACAAATAAAAGTCAAATTTCATTCAACATGCGTTTATTTTTTTTTATAATTAAGTGTTACACGTGCGCTAAAAAGTGCCCTCCCCCCCCTCCTGAGCACCTGCCCCCCAAAATGTCTGTGCACGCCTCTGGTTCTAGGGTAAATTTACCAGGGGGACAAAGGTGGGATCAGTGTTTTTTTCATGGTTGCACAGAGCAAAAGGATAACTACACAAAGTGTGCATTGTTTAGTATATTAATTGAGCCACAAAGCCAAGGTTGCAGAACGTTGATTGAACAGATTAAAACTTTTTATCTATCCTTTAAAATGCAACAATCATTTAGAAATTACAGTCAGCTCTAAGCTTGAGCTTGAGCTTATGAAAATAGAATCAAAGTTTTAATCTGTTCAATCAAAGTTCTGTAACCTTGGCTTTGGGGCTCAATTAATATCTTATGTCATTGAAAATAAAAATGAAAACAGGACAATAATACATCTTTCAACATATTAAGTAAGCTACAGAACCAAAGAGCTGATTGTGGCTCTGAAGAAACCAGATATAGCAGATTAAAAAGTAGGTTTTGTTCATTTTTTAAAGACATAAGATTAAAGGTGTATTGTGATCCTAGAACAACTGTTATGAAAAAAATATCAGCATCAGTCAAAATTGAATGTGACAGGGTTGTTAGAGATTTTTCCATTTTTCCCTATAATACAGACAGTGACAGCAGTAATACTCTCAAGTGGAAAGTTCTAACTTATTTATAATTTAAATTTTATATATATAAACAATTAACTGACAACAAAAACCCTGTGGTTAATTATCCGCTTTTGGCCACCCCTCAGTGTACATTGGTTATTGCCTGGCCACCCTTCTTAAAACTTTCTGGCTACGCCTCTGGACGACAGGATCCATACCAGGATCCAAGGGGGCCCTTTTCCAGATTGGATGGGCTTCCTAATTCCGTAAAAATTCAAAAAATATCCACTGGACTTGGTTTTCAAGATTTGAAGACGTTTCGCCACCTCTCCAGGAAGCTTTCTCAATTCAAATGTCTGGATCCGCAGTGAGTTTGATCCAGACATTTGAATTGAGAAAGCTTCCTGGAGAGGTGGCGAAACGTCTTCAAATCTTGAAAACCAAGTCCAGTGGATATTTTTTGAATTTTTACGGAATGACTATGACCTGGTTGACTGAGAACCTTCATCAGCATGGGCTTCCTAAATAAACATTTTTGCCTCACTGTGGGTGGTCTCAAAATAGCCATAACAGATTGGAGAAAAATGAATATGTTCATAAATGACACTAATAATGTACGAATCTATTGCATAAGGCGCCTTTTCTCTCCAATGTGCGTTTGAGTGTTTGTGCGGCGATGGGCGGAGGCCTCAGTGAAGCTCCTCTGGCGCTGCGTGTTTACAACAGCCTGCTGTAGTAGAGCAGCAGACACCGAACACATCGGAGACACGAGTGGGGCGTGTTCGTATTAGGGGTCAGAAACTCTGTCCAATCAGCTTCCAGTAAACCACTCACTGGCTGTCCCGCTCAGCCAATGCCGCGCGCTTCCAATCGGGGACGCGAGCTAATAGGAAGAGCGAATAGCGCAGGCACGTGGATCTACGCACACGTTAACGGTCGTAAAGAGTGTAGACAGAGATCGATGAGCAGCCTGGCGGTGTGTGTGAGAGCGAAGGATGGACTCAGCGATGCTGCTCCAGCTACGGACTGAGTACTGACGGATCTACCAAAGCAGAGGCCAGATATTTGAACCGAGGCTTACGTTATTATCACACATTAGTGGCGGTGAGTATTAAACGATGCTTCCTGGAGCTGGTAGACCAGCCTAACGGAATTTCCTGTCCAGATTTATGCGGTTTATGCTGTTAAAACAATGACTTTTCTTTTCCCCTCCATTCCCAACGTGAGTATATATATTTATATATGCCGTTAGTTTTGGTTAAAACGCAAACGTAGCTTTTTAAAATTTATTTTATAATATAACTTTGTGTGGAAACGTGCAGTATGTGCTGGTATGTTGTAGTGGGCGTGATTAATGGAGATCACCCACCTGTACCTGAGCCCTGCATGCACCATCCCTCCCCAGTCTGTCCCCAGCAGGCTTTCTCACACAACTGATCCACATTTTAATTTTATTTTAATGCTCTTAATCGTTTTATTAAATAGCAATAAAATATTAATTATCAATTTGCAGGGTAGCTATTTATAAAATGAAACGAGACAAAGAAAAAATAGGAGAAAGAAAAAGAAAAAACTGATAAACCATTTATCACAAGAAAAAAAAATCCACACTTTTGACTTGTATACCCCAATCCTAAATATATATTCTTATTAGTGTAGAGTTTTTGATCTATTCATAAACCTATAGAACTGATGATGCAGTTAGTATATTTCTTAGAAATGTTTACAGCTGATACTTTAGTTTCTTTTATGTTTGTTATAACTAATAACTTTCAAACTCACTTATCTCTTTCTGTTTTTAGCCATTCTTCTCTGTTATCTCTTTTAAATCCTAAATATATTTAGTGTAAGCTTACTTTATTAAGTTGGTGTATTTTTAATCAAAATATATTACTCTGTCAAACATATACATTTATAAGTGTATATATATGTATATGTGAGTGTTAATTTATTACTATTGACTAGTTATATTAATCAGATATTGCTAAATCCCAGATGTATAATTTTGATACTTTCTTTTCACCTCCTTATTCTAAAATTACAAGGGAGATAGTAGGATTGTTACATAACAAACATATAACCTCAGATTTTTGGGAGGGGAACAGTGAGCTGCTCTTGGAGGCCCCCTCTCGGACCCGAGGTGGCCCCCCACGTAGCAGTTAGGTTGCCTTGGGCTGACTGCTTTGACAAATCAGGAAATAAACAACCAAATGATGCATTACTTGAATTGATATGAAGTTGTTTGTATTTTTTTTTATAATTCTAGTTTGGCTGAAAATTCCAATTGTAACCTAAATGGACAAACCTGAATGTTTAATCCCTCATTTAGTCGTTCTGAGTGCATAAATGTGTATGAGTCTCTCTGATGGAAGCTGGGGTGTTTATTTCCCCACTGCATACCTATTTGCCCATATGTGCCGATGGGATCAGAGGACCAAAGACACAGACTGTGAGGGAAGGGTGATGAGAGAAGCTGGAGAGAATCAAAAATATGAGTGGAAAGATAGAGGCTGTGTGGTTGGGATGAAGGCAGCATGGCTTGCCGAAATGCATCCAGAGGGGAAAGTAGGTGGTTTGTGTGTTTCTAATCCTAATGGGGAGGGGGGGGGGGGCAGAGAAAGCACGAGACTGAAGAGAGGAGGGGCTTCGTTTGCAACCGGAGGCTGTGGTGGAGTGTGGGTGTGCCTACTCTGATTTCACCACTCCACAAGCTCCCATCCCCCCCTTCACATTTCCTACTCTCCTCCAGTCTCCTCAATGGGAGCCAGACATGTACCACTGTTGTGTGCCTCCTGCATAAACCCCCAGCCCTACTCTGATCCATGTTAAACTAGGGCACTGGTAGACCCACCATTTTGAGTGGTGGGAGTTGGATATTTAGGAAGAGAGATGGGTGGAGCATTTTGGAAACAGGAAACACGCTGAGCTTGTTGGGATTTTTATGTGTTGGTGTTCATTTTTCCAAAAATCTAAATCTACCTTGTATTAATCCGAACCTCTCACTATTTTTTCCTCAAAGTGATGCAGTCTCAAGGAAGCACATCCACCCAGCCCTCCTTCGATTCCCTGAGCTCCAGCGACAGCCTCGCGCTCAGCGACTCGGAACAGACAGAGGATGACACAGATGTCTTTTTGATGGACAGCTCTTCCTCCGTCGTCATCGGTGAAGTGGCATCCAGAAACGGCATGGAAGCAAGGAGCCCCAGGTCCCAATGGACGTACAGCAGCTTTCAGAGGAAGGAGGAGGAGACATACAGGCTGCAGAACCACAGCAAAGGGGCAGACTTCGGCCTGGTCCGCACAGATCCTGCGGGCCAGAGACCGAAATCACAGGGAGACCTGCTGTTTGCTCAGAAGGTACGAAGGAGAGGAACGACATGACAGTATTTGTACAGTGGTGAGCTCTTCTGAGCGTGTAATCTTTCTTCTCTGTCTTCTTCTCCATCAGTGTGCTGAGCTGCAGGGTTTCGTCAGGCCGCTCCTGGAGTTGCTGAATGGACTGAAGAGCGGTCGATTTGACCACGGTAAGCATTCCTAAACCATTGCTTCCTGCAAGCATGCATGGACTTGTGGTGCAAGGTGTGGATAGAAACAGACTGTGAGAACCTTTTTAGCAAACTGTGCAAATTCCTGCAGGGTTCAAGTTGTCAGAAAAGACACAAAGTGAAGCGAGCATGAGGCAGCAGCCTTGCTTTTTATACTTTACCTCTCTGCGGTGCTACGTAAAGCAGTACCTGTATGCATGTCATTACATGTATCCATTCAGTGTAAAGGCTGACAGGTGGATTATGCGTTTGATTGACAGGTTTAAGCAGTTTCCAGCAGAGCGTCGCCATGGATCGCATCCAAAGGATTGTCGGAGTTTTGCAGAGACCACATTGTGGGTAAGAAGTCATTTACATTGCCACCCAGTCACACACTAAATGAAGAAGATTCCTTGATTAAAATTTTTATTTTTTTGACATTTCTTTGCAAATAAACCACAATCTTCCATGTGTTTTAAACAAACTTCATGAGAAAAGATCAACAAAGTTGGATGGTTGCTATAAAGCGGGCTTACACATTGAAAAAAATAATGCAACCGCTTTTTGGCATCTACCTTAATAATATTTAGTTACTTTAACATAATTGTTTTATGTCCTACCCCGCTAACATGAAACAATTGTTAAAGTAGCTAAATATGATTAAGTAAATGCCAAAAATGGTTGCATAATTTTTTTCAGTGCCATTTTTTTTTTGCCCTTTTCGGGCCGTGCGAGATTTTTTCGATCGGGCCGACTTTCAGCCTGATCATGCATCGTGTAGAGTCCGACTATCGTGAGCAAATCGCTTCGTGTTTATGCGCAAACAAGGATTCTTCTTCTTCCTCTCAGATGAGAACACAGAGGCATGGCGGGGCTGCGGGGAAAGGGAGTTCTTTCTTGTAAATTGACAGATAGTAGTAGCCACATAGGGCTTTCAGCACAAAATTTCACAAATTGCCAAGGCAGCGCGTTTCAATCTAGTGAGCTACATATTCCTCTTCTACTTGTTTGGCTTCTGGATAGATGAAAATGAGTAGCGCCATCTCACCGCAGAGCTGAGTCAGACTTGGTTTTTTCAGAGCGTCATGCTGAACATGCATCGTGAGCTGTGAACTCACACTGTGTGAGCTGCAGCTGCGTGCAACGATTGAAAAAATCGCACAGTTTATGCCCGGTGTAAAGTGACAGGCATGTTATACGATTTTTTTTATTTGGCCTCTACTTCTAGTTTGAAGTATTTTTCAAAGATGAATAGAAGACTTTCAGCCTCTTTAGGTGCAAATCTCTGAGAGATGTTCATAGGGACTGCATTCAAATGCATGCCACACACTTCAAATGTTTTAACAGAAACCTTTTGAGCAACTTATCCTTTTCTGTGAACTTTAAATGCTCTCACTAATGTGTTGATGTATTTCATGAAGTCCCTTTAAAATGCATTAAAACCTGTCTGAAACCTTGAGACATCCTGCTGCATGATAGGAGGATGAACATGTTTATTAAACAGTGTAAGAGCTTTGAGAGAGAATCTCATGTGTTTTTGCCTCTTGCATGTTAAACTTCTAGGAGTAGAATTCTGACCCCTTTTGACCCCTGTGTTTTTCAGGGAGAAGTACCTAAACACTTTGCTCCAGGTGGAGGCGATGTTACAGCTCTGGTTTCCACATATCTCCAGTCAGCCTGTGTCCTCGTCCTCCAGTGTTGCCACATCCCCCACTCATTCCCTCCAGGACACTTCCAGCTCTACTCCGCCGCACAAACACAGAGATCAGCTGCATATTCCAGTCAAGGTTAGTATGCACACATTGTCTATCAGTCTGTTCTAACAAATAAAGACCCCCCTCACCATCCTTCCGGCTCTACTGAGATGTAACATTCATTTGCTTGCTCTCCTGTTTACTTTCCAGAAGCGCAGACTCAGCTGGACAGACACAGACTCTCCCACATCCTCCCCAATACCTATCAAGTGCCGTCGTAGCAGTGGAGAGGAGAGCAGGGAGAAGCACAATCAAGATGAAAGGAATCCGTCTACCTCTTCTCCATTGCTGTCTTCTAAGGCTTTACCAGGCGTGGTCTGCGGCAGCCAGCTAATCGATGGCCCAAAGGGAAATGACAGCGAGGGCGACCCGGACGAGCATTCCAAGTACAAAGGAGCCCAGAGCTCCGAGCCCAGGCTGACCTGGGTGCATGTCGCTCCCATCCCATCCCCGCGGAAATCTTGTCTCGCACACGGGGTCACAAAAATGGAAGTAATCGACGAAAGCGTTCCCACTGCGAGCAGCAGGGGCAGTCCAGCAATGCAAGACTGCTCCATCTCGTCCACCACCCCCGCTAACAACCCCAAAAATCAAAAGAAACCAACGCAGTGCCAAAGCCAGCTCGCTGCTTCAGGACAACGAGGTGAGACTACAGGGACATGTCAAGGTCAAAGCCAGCCCACACTTGTCTCATTGAAGCCCCTGGCCCGCGTATGTCCCTCCACTGTGGAGACCTGACACACCTAACAAGGAAATAGCCGGCAGCCTTGGCCCATTCACAACACCCAAGGCTTAAAGCTGCTGCAACACAAATAAAGGGGAAAAAAGGATGTTTATGTATGCATTTCATATGGAGGAGAAAAGCTGTTAGTGGAGATTGGTATATAGGACAAAGTGTTCTGCAACGGGGTGAAGGGAGAAGGAAACTTTGGAAGTGAGGTTCTGATAAAACACTATAGGCACTTAATAACTTATCTGGCTCTTTTTCTTTAGTATAAATCCAGAATAGTTGGTCCTGGAGGCTAAAGGTGATAGCTAATAAAAAAGGACACTTAACCTCAAAAATACTTGGCATGTCCTTCAGAGTAGAAGGTCTGTCAGAAATTTAATATTGTTTACATCACAGTGGGACCGTTTCAGCTTTTTGTTTTCACAAAAGCATTGCCAAACAAAAAAAAAGTGAGAGATTATTTATTCTTTTATCTATTATCTTGTCTACATATTAGACAAGAAAACTGCTTTACTCGTTTAGTTTTCAGTAAGCGGTTCACTCAGGAAGATATCTGGTAGCACATCGCCTATGTACCACCATTCCACTTATAATGAATCAACTTTGCGATGAGTAACAACCAGAGGTGAACAGTAAAAGGCTCTTAAAGTAGATCTTGCTTAGTGGTGCTTTTGAGATTGATGCTGTTCTTCAGTGACAGACGTCCAGGACCAACTATCCTGAGTTTATACTAAATAAAGATGCAGAGAGAGTTTTCCTTAGACACTTACTGCTTATTACCTTTAACAGAAGCTCACTTAAAAAAAGAAATCATACAATCCCTTTAAACTGTGCATTTCATATATTTAATATAATGTTTTACAATTAAATTAAAAGAATATTGAAATAATTAATCTTGACATGCACTAAAGGGGGGTTATGATTAAAGATGAAAAAAGCTAAAGTTGGCTTAAAGATCAGGAGTTCAGACATGATGATGGAGAGAGGATGGAATTTAGAGAACCAACAGACAGAATAACTTCAGCATGAAAACAATCAGTATATTTAGAGAAGGCTGTTATTGCACAACTTGAAACTAAACATAAGGAGTGTGATGTCAGTGTTTGAAATGAAAACTGAATGCTCTGATTTCAATTAGAGAAATTAAGAGTGAACATATTTTTTCTTTTAAGGTTCGAAAGGAAGCCTGTTTCACTATTACAGCTAATTGTAGATAGGACAGAGGAGAAATGGTTATTAAAGTGAGTAATGAATGATACATTCATAGGAAATACAGATCTGACTGGTTATTACACTGTATATAGGAGTGTTGAAGTTGAAAAGATAGGGAAACAAATATGTAACATCAAGCGAATGTATTCCAAAATGTCTGAAGGCTTCTAAACCAGAGGAGCGTTGCCGTAGCATCAACCCGTCTCGCTGTGAATCAGGCGCTGCTGCTGCCAGGTGTCTGAAAACGGACCGGCGATCAGGGTCCAGAATGACTTTTTAAATGACCAGCCTGAAGAAAACAGACAAACAATAACCACTTATACATATGACTCTAATCCCGGCGTTAATTTATTCATGTTTCAATCAGATACTGCAGCTATTTATTATTGTTTGTATTTATTTATTGGGCAGCTTATTATTGCCTGCTGTGCACTGGCATAGCTCGGCCCACAGTCTTTGGGATCTTTTTTTTTTAAGCTTATGACATTTCATGTGTTTTTTACTACTATTACAAGGAGAACAACGGAGGCAGATGGAACATTTTGAATGGACTATTGGACTACTGTGCCTTTTGTCAATTTGTTCAAGGGAAAAAAAAAAGATCTTGGTGCTTTCCGTGCATTTTGATTGTTTGCAATTCAGAAAAAAACTGTACACAATCTATTGAATATTGAATGCATCAAAACCAACAGAATATTGGCCAACTAAGACAGCAGCGTCCACATCTGATGGCTACTGCTGATCCTCACTGCCCACATCTTGAGCCGATGCGGTGTGTTTTTGGATCTGAGTTGGAAACCAGTGATTCAAATACAGAAACAAGTGTTAGATTTGATTTCTTTATTGTTTTTAACAATATGAGCCTTTTTTTTCTCTTGATTTGATAAAAAAAAAAAAATCAACATGTAGGAAGATCCTTTAATTTGATGATTAGAAATAGGAAGAACAATAAGAAAAATATCTTGATTTGGATCATGAGATCATCCTGTGGTGTGACTGTAGAAGGCAGTGTCTCTGCTGTGCCCCTCAGAGGTGTTAACGATTTTAATTATGAGAGTGACAAAATGAATATTCCACAAGTTTGGATGCTTTTTGATGAGGAAAGTTTCTTTATGGTCTCATATTTCATTTCGTGTTATAAATACTGTCCCTATCTACGGGCAATGATGTCAGGGTGAAGGATTTACTTCATTATTCATTGAAAAGTGAAAAAAGGAAAAGATGGCCTGTATTTTGCTTAAGTAGTATTTTAAAATGACCTCAGATAACCACTTGGGATGTTCTTTTGTTTGTTTGTTTTTTTATTACTGATCTGTGATTGAGAAAATCCCATTATAGACCTTTCATTGGCCGAATCAGCGCATCAGCAGTGATTGATTTTATTATTATGATTAAGTGTAATCTTCTAATTAAAGTGTTTATGCTCTTAAAATATAAAAAAAGAATATGAATTAGTTAGCAAATCCTTATTTGTATTAGATGTCCCATTGGGCCCACATATTTCTAAACTATCAATAAGCTAACGTTCCTATAACCATTGGGTTATCTTTATCAATGTGATTGGATTTACTTGTATAACAAAAACATATAGATATTGAAAGTATTTTAACCTTTTTTTTTATTAATTATAATCCACAAATTTTGTAGCGAGGGAAAGGAGTCCTTTAAAAAGCCCCACATGTAAACACAGAGCCCCCCTGGCAGCCATCATGTTTCTGGAGCAGTGAGCTCACAAAGCCTCCATCACAGATCCAGACTCTGAATCAGAGCCTGAGGTGGGGCGTCGTCTTCCACCTCATACTTGTTTACTGTTGAAGTGTGACAGAGAAACCAATTGCACTTATTTGTTATTCTGCATTTTTTTTTAAATGGCTTTTTCTGGGATTTTTTTTTTTTTTTACTGTGACGTCCACTGCTGATTGGTCAGGAATAACAATGTCTTGTTTGTTTTAGCTGCCTTTTTCTGGTTTGATGCTAACTGTAGAAGCGTCCCTTCCCCCACTGGGCTGCACCGGTCTGCCCTTCCTGTCTCTCCTATGTCTCCCTCAATCCACTTAGTATCCTTTACTTTGGAAAACACTTTTTTTTTCTATCACCCCATCTCTTTTTTGTTATTAATCATCCTGGCTTTATCTTCAGACAACACGAGACAAAAATCTTTTAATAAATGACACGTTTTTGAAAGTAAGAGTCTTCTGTATTTTTTTTTTTGAGCAAAACAAAATGACATTTCTGTTTTTAGCCTTTTTTTGATTTCCTTCATTATCATGATATGAGTCAGACTTGTTTTGAAAAGCAGCTCTCCCTAAACAGAAGTGACTCAATGAGGTGCAGTTTTAGGGACTACATTTAGAAGTGCGTGTTAGCTTGTGGGGTGGGGGTTTGAAGTGAAGGGGAGGAAGGAGGGGTATGGTATAAGACTACTGTCTTTAATCTGACTGAAAGTAGTGGGGGGGCCGGCTGATCCTCCAACCAGCTGCCACTGAAAAGCCCAAACATTCCTACTGTGTATTTCTCTGCATATTCAGGTTCCGAAATCATTAGTAATTACCTCCAAATAGAAGAAGAACCTGGATCCAGAGTCATAAATTAAAGGAGAAAGTCGCAGGATTTCACTTTATCTAAAATATGAAAAGTTTGAGAATCCAAATTTCCTCTGAAATATGAATTGAGGTTACTATTAATATGTAAAAAACTTATTTAAATCCAAGGTTTTTGAGCTAAATGTAATCAGTTTTCCACAAATAGTTAAAGGGTAAAACAAATGATCAGTGTAAAGAATATAAAAAAAATAGGTAAAAGCTGTATAAACCTGGCTGAGTACAACGTCGGACTAATTTTGTTTCAGCATCTCATCTGCATGAGACATTTGCATTCAATTATATTGAATCAAATCAATTGTACTTGAGGATTTTGTTTTACAGCTGCTCATTTTCAACATTTAATTTAAGCTCAAATATACAGAAAAGTTGCAGAGGAAAACAAATCTTTGTTTAAAGGTAACAGGACAAAGGTGCAGATAAATCCCATAAAGTGAAAGCAGTCATCAAGGGAACAAACAAACAAGATGGTGACCATAGAGGCTTCCAGAGACTGAGGATCTCTAAAAAAGCTGGCAATAATATTTTTGATTCTTCATATAATACACAATATGGTTAAAACACATAATTCTTTTTTAACATATTAAAATATCTAGTTAATAAAAAAAAAGATAATCCTAAAACCTTAAGGCGTGCATTATGACACAACTAAAAGTTTGGCACCAAGTAACATCTCCCAAAAGAACACTTCACCTAAAGTCCTTAATTTGCTGCCTTTAAATCCATCCTATGAATCCTCTGAGACGCTCCTGAGAGATCCACTTTGGACTGAGATTTGGTGACTATACATGTCACTGGAGTAGAGGGGAGTTTTATGAAAAATTATTGGAGATTATTTAAATTTGGAGACATGGTGCATTTCCCAGATTGAAACAGCCATCAAATGTAGGTACGACCATGAAGGGACTAGTATTAGCCAAAGATACTAGGGTAGAGCTTGGGAAATAAGATGATGCACACTGAAAAAATAAAATAAAAAACACCATTATACCACCATAGCTAGCATGGAGCATTGGATCCATGACTTAAAATTGTTTCTGACCCTAACATCTAATGTTTGCAATTTAAGGACCTTAGCTGAGAAGACTGGAACTGAGTTTTGTGATCTGCCCGTCTGGCGTCTGCTTTTATTGCTTTTCTATATTTATATATATATATATATATATATATCTATATATATATATATATATATATATATATATATATATATATATATATATATATATATACACACTCACCAGCCACTTTATTAGGTACCCCATGCTAGTAACTGGTTGGACCCCCTTTTGCCTTCAGAACTGCCTCAATTCTTGGTGGCATAGATTCAACAAGGTGCTGGAAGCATTCCTCAGGGAGTTTGGTCCATATTGACATGATGGCATCACACAGTTGCCGCAGATTTGTCGGCTGCACATCCATGATGCGAATCTCCCGTTCCACCACATCCCAAAGATGCTCTATTGGATTGAGATCTGGTGACTGTGGAGGCCATTTGAGTACAGTGAACTCATTGTCATGTTCA